AGAAAATTCAAATCAGAATGCTCCGTATAAAGCATGTTTGTTTTGTGTTGGCTGCTCCTTTGAATGTGGTTTTGTTTGCTCTGGAGGGTGAGGGAAGGTTAAGAAAGGGTTTGTTTGTTTATTGTCCGAGAACATTGCTGAATCTGACATAATTGGAATTTCCAGTGTAAGTTTTGCTTTCTGCCCACCTGAAATGCGACCCAAGTGCTGCTCCTTAGCCAGAGTGGCCCTCTGGAAAGCCACCGGCCACTTGAGCCCTGTCCCCTGCTTGAAGCTTTGTCTGCTTGTTTCTGAGGTAAACACTTCAATGTAGCCCAGAGCAGAGTGAAGCCCTTCCCTGGTTCAGCTGCAGAGACCTAGAGATCAAAGGCTATGAAATTGAAGTCATGGTAATTAACATCCACTCTCCTTACCTATCAAACCACAGATTTGTCTCAAAGACTTGAGTTGTTTGATCACTTGCTTTTGACTTAAAACTATAAAAAATCCCAGCCCTTTTGATCAGAAATCCTCTTCCCCTAATCCAAGGGAGAGGACCTACTCCAGCACTCGATGTTGGAAATGCTGTGAACTGATCTGATTTTTAAATCAGTGACTTGCTGTGCAGGAGGAAAGGTTTGACACTTGGTGCATTTGCACTGGGAGTTTGCTGAAACAACAGCTTTGATTTGGGGAGTTTTTAAAATAAACCTTAAAAAACTATGCTCAAATATGAAAGCAGGTAGTATTTTTCACAAGCTTGGGCAGGACAGCCATGAGGAAGTGTCCTAAAAGGATGATGGCGGAGCTGGGGAGACGTGGACAGCCGCTCAGTGTAACATCTCTAAGCCTCCCGGTGCACCTGAAGCTTACTGTGGGCAAACACTGGAAAAGATGTGTCCGGGGCTGCCAACCTGGACCACAACAACATGACACTGCGCGATCCTAGTAGACAATTGTGTTAGGGAATTCCTACCTTTGAAAAATAATACCTTTCATAGCTTCACAAACTCCTTAGGCTAGTATCTTAAAAGTCCAAGATCCATGTTAAAAACTTAAAAAGCAACAATTACGGATTGAGTGACCACAGATGGAGATGATTACAGAGTCCACAACTAGTCACAGAGAACAAGTGTCTGTGAGATGCCCAGTCCTAAGTGACACATCTACAATGGAACCTCTACACCTAAGGTTCATGGAACACAGTGGAACAGGGGGTAGAGAGAACACTAATGCATCTCTCAACTCTCACAGGTGAAGCTCCCTCATGCAACAGAGGGAAATAGACACAGAAGGCCACAACTGGCCAAAGTCTAGCAAATAAGAGACTGTGGTGTGTGTGTTCCCAGATAGGACACCTATTAAACTTCACCCACCCAGGGCTCAGGGACAGTTGAGGACAAGGGGGCGGGAAGATTATAAGAGCCAGGACTGATGCATGACCATAAGGAAACAGAGTCCTCCAGGGTCCTTGGAACTTGCTCATATGAACTTACAGCAATGATGACAGCGTGCACAAGACCGCACAGACTCAATCCGACAAAAACCAGCATAGAGCTGGAGAAATGGGCAGGAGGCCCGAACCTTACCTGGGAAACTATTGGCAACTGATAACCGCTGGGTGAGGGAGAGCTGATCTTCTTTAAGGACTGGTGCTAGTTAGGCTGACCAGGCTCCAGTGGATGAACTCACACCTAGGGACACCTGGGGACACAAACTTGACTTGATAGGCTTTAATATAGATGACATAATGCATGGAATCCTGTGGGCTGGCTATTGGGGCCAGGGCAGGTAGGAGAGGGATCTAACTATGGTTAAGATCTGTTGTACGAAATGCACAAAAATCCAATAAAAAATGCCCAGTTCATGACAGTTTTCCCCTTTAGAATAAAAGGGGAAATTAGCCTTAAAATAAAAAAGGATTACTAAATACTGGGACTTATGCCTGTGATTTAAGTGTAGTTTAGAATGCCACAGCACACTTGATGTCTTTGTCTTTTATTATGTAGTTGTAGGGGTGGATCTGTGGGCCTTGTGTCTTGCTTGTCCGTGCCTGAACCAGAACAGCGAGCCCTGTGGCCGCTCTGTTTTACCCTAACATGAGCACCTCCGTTGGAGGTGGGGGTGAAGGGTCCTGGGATGACTTTTATATATATATATATATATGCTAGATATTTAAATATATATAAATACATATATTTCTTTGTTAAAATCCCACATTTAACAACTCTCTACAATAAGTCAATAATGATGATATTGTCACTTCAGGAGGTTCATTGAAAAATCAGATTTGACAACTATCTTGCTAGCTGTCAAGAAAATCCCCGTCTCTTTAAGAAGCCTGCCAGGGCTCATGACCTAGGGGTGGAGATGCTCTCAAGCTTTACTTTTGGAAGAAACTGACCTCCTCCCTGTTTCCTGTTTTCTCTTCTCATTATTTATTTGGCTGTCTCTGCAGTGGCCTCTGTGGCTATGCTGACACTGTGAACCTTAGAGAAAAAAAAAAAAAAGAATATAGGATCAAAATACTGTCAGGTTGATCAGGAGCTTAATATCTTAAGGGAGAGGCCAGAGGACAGGGGTGTGTTAAATGCAGTACACAAAATAAACAGCCTGACCACACTCACCATGAGACATAAGCAATATCTACAATCAGTTCTCCATATTTAAGAAAGAAAATTCAAAACTTTATTCCAGAGACATTATGAAGGAAGGACAGAGCCCTGTCCAGCTTTTTTTCTGCGATTCTGTGTTTAAATAAAACCTTCCTGTGACAATTACACAGCTCTCTTAACAAATCATATTTTATCTTTTTAATTATGAAAGAATTCATTTTTATTTCAGAAAGCACTCTCCAGTTTAAAGGAACAGGCATAAATCATGCATAATTCTGCTCAGAGAAAAAGTCCTTTAGCATTTGGCATAGAATTTTCCAGACCTTTTTTCTACAAAGACCATAATTAGACATGTTAAAAAGCCGTTTTTGTCCGAAAGGTCTTCTAGCCTCATGACTTGTCCTCTCCGACTCTGCCGGCTAGGTTTTCACCTTTTTACGTTTTTGCTTCTTTTTCTTGAATTATAAACACGCTCAAGACTTACATAAGGGGAGGCTGGGGCTGTAGCTTCCCAGGCGCCCTTTCTTTACCTCCTGTCTGCCCACCAGCCGTCTCGCTCCCCTTTGTATCCCAGCTCTTGCCATGGAGATCACCCCCAGACCAGAGCACCCCGTCGTTCGTCTGACTCCCACCCTCACTTCTCCTCATTAATGACTTCTGATGCCTCATACAAGGCACACCTGTCGCCACTCATCAGCACGGGCATCCCCCCCACCGCACTGACTGCTCCGCCTCTTCCGCCGTTACTGGGACTTCTTCTGCCTCTTTGAAATACAACCATTCTCCAAGCCTCCGAGCTGAGTCCTCAATTCTGTCTCGGCATTTTCTTCTTAAAGCAAACGTATCCACCCCTGACGTTTTCTTATCCCCATCTGTCCCTCTCCTGCCCTTACTACTCTTCTGCCCAAATGGTAAACTGGATCTTCCCACATGGAGGAACTTGCCAAAGACACCACAGACCTAGCAGGCAGCTGGTCAGCCTACGACCTTCCTTCCCAGGCCTCCCCTTTCTGATTATTACAGGATTGCTGGTAAGTTTGATAACGGATCTTGATTGCAACGGGTTTAGAAAGAAAGAGAAAGTAAAGAATTCTTGTGAGGAGTAGAGACTGTTCTTTCTAGATTAGCGGTGAAAAGAGAAAAATTAAAGACCTTGCAGAAAAGGGAGATGAGGGAAACCCTACGCATTTGCGGACGGTGGGAAGGAAGGCAGTGGCGGATGGGACGACACAGGAAGGCGCTGTCTCCACGAAGCTGGACTTTTGCTTTGATAAACTCGTGCCTGCCGTGAGTCATTCAGCGAAGTAGGAACCAAATCATAACGAACATCTTTGAAGTGTTTATATGAAATCTTTAACCTTTGCATTTATTTTGACACCTGGAGTTGGGTAAAAATTGCAATTGGCCAATTTGTGTGGTTACGTAAATCAGTTTTTCTTTTCTATAAATCCCATTCCTGACACCTATGAAGAATACTTTTAATTCAGTCTACAAACAATTTAGATCTTTCAATTGGAACTCTAACTTTTTATTTTGTGGGAGTACTGGGGACTGAACCAGGGTCTCGTGCTGGTAAGCTCCTACCACTGGGTTTATCTCCAACCCGAAAGTCTAACCTTTTTGTACACTTGTCTGCTGAGATGAGCGACTATCTTCATCAGTCGGCTCTCTCTTGCTGTCTTGGTTTTTCTGTGGAATGAATCTCATGTCCATAGCTACAACATCACCATCATACAATTTCCAGCTGCGGTCAGTTACTTAATTCACATGAGCAGACCCATTTTCCGGTTCTGCTCTATGGAAAAGAGGCAGAAGGGTAGAAGAGGTGCTTCACAGTAAGGAGAGGGGGTGGACATCTGCACAGAGCAAAGTCACCAGGTGGGCTTCGTGCTTAGGAGAGCTACAGGCGCCATCTGATTGGACAGTATTTCAAACAGTGTCAGCACAGAGCACTGGGCAACCTTGTTTCAGGTTAGTTGAATAGAATTCGGAGTGGTGGGTTCAGAATGGCATGGGGAGGTGGGAGACCCTGTGTTTGAAGTTTCAGACGCCGGACAGCTACCCTGGGCTGAGAGCTGCTTCCATCAGGGAGGCAGACTGGGCCTGTCCTTTCTTCCCTCATTCTATCACTTCACCTCCCAGCCTTTCAGTTCCCTGGCTCCAATGCTTCCTTCTCTGCTGCACTTCGTGAAGAGAGCACAAAGGCCCCCACAAGGCTGGGGTGAGAAGGGCCTAACCCGCTGCCTCAGTGAAGCTCTAGGCTCCAGGGTGGTGCTCCCGCTGTGGAAGAGGAGGAGTGGAGGCCATGATGACCCTGTGGCTTCTCCTCCTCCCACAAAGCCCTGCCCCCTCACACTTGGACAGTGGAGAGCTTAGTTTCCTTCCTCCCTCTGGTTCCATCCTCTGGCTAATGTGCCAGTGCCCGCGGAAGCTCTGGGCTTGCTTTCTGCGCTTAGCAAACGAGCACAGAAGGAAGGCAGGGCTCCCTGGCTGGGAGGAGGGAGGAGAGCTGAAGATCCCAGCCTGGGCCGGCTCAGCTAAGCAAAGTGGGCAGCTCAGTGCTTGAAAGAGGATTTTGCTCGCACTAGGTATAAGTAAGTGGGTGACTGTATGGCTTGAGGAAGGGTGCGTGCCCCTGGGGTCATGGGCTAGATTTAGAAAATGTCGTTTGGTTCTAAAGGGAAGCCGTGAGGTTGCTGGTTCTGTGTGCTTTCGGTGCTGTGTGGAGGCCAAGCACAAAATCAGAGCTCTAAACGCCTCCTCCCACTAGTGGAAAATGCCAACTTCTATTTAGAGTAGTGGTGGAGAATCTCTGTTGCTGACCCCTCTCCTGGGAAAATTTGCTACTAAATCAGATAAGGGAGTTGGGGTCAAATTGAAGAGGTGAAATTTGATATTGGCAGACATTGCAGTTTCTTGTTAAGTTCTGTTGACATTGTTCTCTCTATAAACAGTTGTTGTCAAGAAAGTCTGGGGCCAGGAGAAAGGGAAAATTGAGAGCTTTTGTGGCCAGGAGGCAGAATAGTCCATATGCAAAAGGGATCAAATACAAAAAGTTATATAATAAATAATAAGTGGGTTTAAAAAGAAAACATTAAATAGGAATAGAAGTCAGGGGGCATAAAAGTGCATGGGTGAAAGTTAGGAAAAGAAACCTTCATCCCGCGTCTTTTGTAGCAGCCAAAAATTTCACAATGTTTACAAAGTCAGGACAATGATTCAGGAATTCTTCAATTATTGTCGTACATTATTAATATTGTTGCCGGGCAAGATCTGTGGTTCTCTGGTCAGCGAGTCCTGGCAATGAAGCCACTGCCGATGGTGCAAGGAATTCTGGGATGTCTGACAGTGAAATGGATGGAAGGGCTCACATTCCATCTCTACTTAATGCTCTTTTGTCCAGAAACCGGGTCATGCAGATGAGCTCCTTGGTACGTATTCGGATCAATATGGGGAAAGGCGTTTCTGAGTGTTTTGTATCAGAGGGTCTCTGGGCAGGATCTGATGGCAGGCAGTGATTGAGAGGATGCGGAAGCCAAGTCTGACAGGAAGAAAGTCGGCTTGGCTCAAGCCAAACGTGTTCTTTTTTGTGTCCCATCAGTTCTGAGATGGAAACTCAACTGAGGGCTGAGGAAAGACAGGAACACGTGGCAGAGTCACTGATGTGTGAGTGGAGGTTGGGGTTTTGTTTCTGCATCCCCAAACTTGAAGATCCTGATCTCTATGTTAGAGTAAAAGACACAAAAATAAGGTTTATTTATGGGGAGGAGAAAATATATAAATTCATATTTTTAAATGTTATAAAGGGGAGGAAAAGATAATTGTGTTCTAGAATATAAGACAGTCACAGCACTAAAATGTGTAGCCCCAAAGGAACACAGCAAACTGATGTGGCACAGTGGACTCCAGCTTAAGAGTTTACTCTCCTAATTGTGCTTTCTGTGGTTAACATCGAAAGCAAAGTGTTTTTTTATCTTGGACTTTAGAAAACTGTGTAATGACTTTTTTCCCCCCATTTGTCATTGGTATGAGGAGGTAACACTGCTTTTCTAGAACTCCTACTGGGAAAGGAAAAAGACTAAACACACCACCATTTTTTGTAACATGACAGAAAAGTGATTGCTGTGATCTGAGTCCTTTTCCAACTTTAGAATTTATATTTATAGATTTTGCTATAGAGAAGATGATAGCTAAAGTGCGGTCATTAGAATAAAAAATAGTAAATGCTATAGAGAAGATAGCTAAAGTGTGGTCATTAGAATAAAAAATAGTAAATGCTATAGAGAAGATGATAGCTAAAGTGCGGTCATTAGAATAAAAAAAATAGTAAATGCCAATAAAGTGCACTTTTAGATCTGTTCTGCTCCCTTCCCACTTTTTTAGCTACCTAATTTTGAAACTTCATAAAAATTATTTCCATTGTTGGTATGCACGTGACTTATTGAAATATTGAAAATCTGAGGATTCATTGCTAAGTTATAAAATACTTCTCTTGTTCTTAAACATATATGACATTAAAATATAGCATGCAATAGTTGAAATTTTTAACATGGTGTAATTCTAAATGAAGTTTCTGTCCTTGAGAAAACTGTGTTACAATTCCTCATAGAACTGATTATTTATCTCAGTGTCCAAGAATCTATTAGGAAACTACACGGTGAAGGAGAGACTTAAGAACACAGAAGGAAGAGCCACAGGCAGGCTTTGGATGGGAGGGGCTACACAGGGATGCTTGGTGCATGACTATAAGACCACAGTTTGCTCTACATGAGAGATTGGCATAAAAGATGATGCATTGTGACTAGGGAAAGGACAAAGTACCTTTATCTTTAAGAGTTATTAAATATAAATTAAGATTATTAATAGAAAGAAACTAAATGACGGTTTAAAATTGTTCTTTCACAAGAAAAGTAAAGAACAAGGCTATGGGAAGCTAAGCGGCGATGAAGACCTCGAAATAATTGTTGATCCGAAGCAGGTAAGTGAATGCTTCCTATGTTTTCTGTTCTTCACTGTAGACTTTTGACAGTGGAAGTCTGCAGGTGTGGAGCCCTCCCTGCCAGATGAAGTAGCCTGTTTAACTGAGGCCTGTTAACAAGATAGATTTTGAGAGCAGCTAAGCATCTGCTGTGATGTCTCTGCCCCACCAACTTTGGTACCATGCCAGGGTGTGTATTCTGCGTATAAGAACAAGGGAGCTAGGGCAGATGAGAGAACTTTGGGAAAAGAAAGGCTCTACTTGAAAAGAGTCAAAATAACAATGATCATTGGATTATGAAAAAAGACTTAAATAAGAACTAGAAAGTATATTATTTTGAAAACGAGAACCACTGTATTAGGGTGTGTCTTGTAAAACAAAGAATGTGATTAACAGAAAGGAAAATAAAGGGCTTTGAAAATTTGAGAAATTTAAACATAAATCTTGCCCAACCTAATTTTTCGGATTGCCTGCAGTACGCATAAAGATGATTTGAAATGAAAACAGGTTGCTGAAGAGTCAGTGACATTGCCCATCGTTTGGGAAGCCTCTACCTTGGATGTTATATTGGGCCCATAAGGTGCAGTGAAAACAGTTTAATGAACCATAAACGGTGGCGTAGTGAGGAGTGGACAGCATCCAGCCCTCGACACTGACTTGGCTTTAGCTTTTAACATCTTTGTTAACCGTCAAGAAGACACTCTAACTGCACATCTATTTAAAGCATTGACTCTGAGGGTGACATAAACCCAAGTGTCAACAGAATGATGAATTCAAAGGTCTGAGCAGATGGAGACATTAGGAAGTAGTCATAATTTACAGAAAGGTGTTGAACTTAGACAACTTCCTAATCATGCAGTTTGTTCTGAACATAGTGACTGGATTGAGGAAGCCATTGTGGGAGCATCCGACAAAAAGGGGCCGGGTCACCAGAAGGGAGCAGTAAGCCGCTGACTTGGAGACTGGCTTGTTGGATGATTGAGGGAGCTGAAGTGTCTCCGGAGACCCTGGCCAGAAGTGCAGTGTGTGGGTGTGACAGGGCTTGGTCCCCCCCCCCCCCCCCGTGTTTCAAGTGACTCTGTGGCTCCTGAGTACAGCAGAGCAGGGGTGTGAGGCTACTTACTGCCAGGCAGTCAGTTTAGTTAATAAGGTAAGTGGTACCCAAGCTTTCACCATTATTTTAATTATGCCAAATTACTTGGGACATGCAGTCTAACCTCTCCCAGACTGTGATTCTCATTAAAGAGCAGACCTATCTGATGAGCAAACCAGTAAAATATAACAAAGTACACTGTGAGAACACAAATGCACACTTTTTTTAAATGAAGTTATTTTATTAATCATATAAAGGCAAATTCTTGCTTTTTTACTTCCTTGTTCTCTTCCTCCTCAAAGCTTTTATTTTTTCCTTTTATTGCATTAAATCTTTGTATTTTAACTATGATATTGAGGAAACTACAGGATTATGTACTGAGATATTTTTGATGAGGAACCCAGGAAGTTATTATTCATCGTTTCCTCGCTAACTTTTCCAAAGTTTACATTGTTGTGATTAAACCCTTCCGGTGCTGCCTCACAAGACCTGTGCTGAGCCATTTGTGTTAAAACACGATTCAAATGTGAGTCGTTTGAGGCAGGCATGGTGGCACACACCTTTAATCCCAGCACTGGGGAGGCAGAGGTGAGTTCCAGGCCAGCTGGGGCCGCAGGGAGACCCTGTCTTTAAAAACCAAAATAAATAAATAAATGTAAGAATGTTTGAGTAGGAGCTGGCCTTGAGTGGCTCCTGGAAGCCAGTGAGTAGAGTCCATCCCTGTGGGATGGGGCGTGTTGGACGTTGAGTCATGAGAAAATCCTAGGTTGGAACAGTGACACTGCTGACACCTCAAAGGAAAACATTGTGGAAAACACTGTAATTAGTCTTCATAGAACTATAAAGCAGGGGCTGGAGAGGTGGCTCAGCAGTTAACAGCACCTGCTGCTCTTACAGAGGACCCGGGTTCGGTTCCCAGCACCCACATGGCAGCAAGCAACCATCTGTAACTCCAGTTCTGGGGTGCTGATGCCCTTTTCTGACCTCCATGGGCATCGCATGGTACATGTGCACTTGCATACATGTAGACGATACTCTCATACACATTAAAAAATTAAAAAACTACAAAATAGCTATTCCTGTTTAAGAAGTTAACGATTAAATATATGGTTATATGAATGCATCATGTGCTCCAGAAACCTAGCATCTCACGGACATGACATATGTAATATATCATGAAATTATACACATATATATTATATGTATAACAAAGTTAAAACTCTGTGCCCCTATGTACAATTTTGTCAAAAATCTTTATGCTTGATCTATTTCTTCAAAAATGTGGTGGAAATTTATTTGTCAGTCCTCATGAAACTCCACATGGCTTTCCCAGCGAGTGACGTCAAAGAAGACCTAAGGAAGATAAATAAAATAATGGACACTGTGATGGGCAGAAGTCTGCTGATCTCACTAAATCCATCACTTAGCTTCCATCACCCACAAGCACTGTGCCAGCTGTACATCGGTTCATCTGGCAGGTGATTCGCAAGTCTAGTACTTCCACAGAAAGCCCACAGCCTTGTTTATGTAAGCAAATCATTGGTAGAAACAGCATGTGAGATGTGGGGTTTGTCCTTGCTGGTTGCCCTCATTCAAAATGGCAAAAGATGACTGTTATTTCAACATAGAAAACAGGAGTAAATTTTGGAAATGGTTAAGGTTTTTTTCTTGAAGGGCAATAATGTACTTCTCTACGAAAATTTTTTTGAAATTTCTATTTGGAATACATATTGTTAAAAATTACAAAGAATTCTTGACCCAGTATCCTAAAGTAATATGTAAGAGAGAGAAAGAAAAAGATATTTAAATTTAAGTGTGTTACATTGGAATCAGAAAACATTTTTCACCAGACAGTCACAGTCTTTAAGCTTCAAATATAAGAAAGTAAAAATGAATGTATTGTAATAAAATCTTGGTGCTGCCCCTGAACTCCAGAGAGTTGACATAAAAATTACGTATCTAGTCTTAGTGAATGCTATATTTGGCTTTCTAAAATAAATATTAAAAGAGAAATCTTAGATATATACTTATCAGTTTTATCATCAAAATATCTTTTCTTGATTGGAGGAGACAAGGGTCTTGTTTGGAAATCAGCCTCATGCAAACACAAATTATTTTCTGAAATTATTGAAATTTCAGGACTGAGATGGATGAAGGTAGATGTTTGGTACCTTTTGTAAAGACTTTAAAACTTTAACCACTTTGGATAAGTAATAAATTTGTTCTATTTTAAATTGCCATTTTAATTAGAGGCAACTCAAGATTTACTGTACGATGGGTGTATAGGACTTGTGTCTAAAGTGTTTTCAAATTCTAAGTAAACTTGAAGGAAGAAACAAAGACCAACATAAAAAAATGTGGGATTTTATGGTTATGTAAACAATACAGAGCTAAAGATTTGAGCACACAACAGGGTGCTTGCATGTAGTTGGCTAGTTGGCTCTGGGACTCAATGTATAGAATATCATGATTGTGTAAAGAATGAAGTTACAGGTTCAAGCATTAAAAATACATATTCAACACAGTGCTTGGGTCTAGAATGCGTGGATCTAGTTGGTTCTCGGAGCTCACATTGGCTTCATGTATCTCTTGGTGCATAGAGGTTCGGAAATGCCTAATACTAACCATTTACCAAGGAAGCATGCACAGCAGGTCAGGGCAGCAGTCTCTCGAATGCAGTAGCCTCAGAGGTGCCTGCTAGGCTTGCTGGGTCCACCCTATGCATTGCTGAGTTTGCGATGTGGAGAAGGGCTAGAGACCGGAGTACTCAGTTACTGCTGACCGATGCATTTTGCAGATCACATTCTGAGACCCACCTTCAGAGAAAATAACTATTACATTCTAAAGGAGGAAAAAATATATGTGACAAGCGATAGGTTTGACATTCTTCAACTGGGCATTTTGGAAATCTAATAACTAGAATCCGTGGAATGTAATGACAGCTGAAATGCAGAATGCACAGCCCTTCACAGGGCCCTTCTGGACCCAAGCCTGCAGTCGAGCTGAGGTCCCTGTGGTAGCCTTGTTGGTCCTGAGCCTATTGGAGCTCAGATTTCTTGTTTGTAAACTGATATTCTGCTCTTCCCACTGGAGTTTATCTGAGATAAAAAATGCAGAAAGACCCAAAGGTACAGACTGTATCATTTGGATTAGCTAGCCATCCCTGCCCACGCCTGCCCCTCCAAACTAGCAAACCAGAGCTTGGAGCTGGAGGGATGACTGCAGTTTCGTGGAGTCCCTGGCTGTGTGTAGGGAGCACCAGAGCCATCCATCCCCCAGTGTCCCTCCCCAGAGCTCTGTACACTCTGTGCCATTACTGATCACCTATAATAGTTAAGGAGTGTTTTGCCTCCGTGGTCTAATTACATAAAATAGCCATCTAGCTAGTCATTACTATAATTGGCCAGCATTTATTATTGAACTGGAGTAAAGATCTCCACAAACATTCCTTAACCATTTACTTACCTCTTGACCTCTCAACATTTCAGAAGTGTTCTTCCAGGAAAGGCTTCTATAGAATGAGGACAGGAAGACAGCTGTTGAAACCACTTAGCTTTCCTCCCATCCTCCCCAGGGGCGGCTTCTAGCACAAGAGCAGCATCTGGGTCAACGCACATTCCCCTAGTCTAAAACCCTTCTGAGTCTCTTAAAACTTGTTAGGGAAACCTTAGCAGAAAGCAGTGGACACTGGAGCCATTTTTCAAGGGTAAAGAACCAAAGCTGAGCCACCCTTGTGTCTCCAACAGCCACAGTCTTTTTCAGTGAGATTGCCTTCTGTTCCAGTGGTTGTGTGGAAATGAATTGGGTCAAGGAAATCAAGGCCAACATGAAATAAAAATGAAAGAGTAAGAAACAGATTAATGGGAAAGGCCCCCAGCTTCCTCCAGTGCTAGCAGATTGCCTGTCC